GGCATCAACACCACTGTCTCCTAGTTTCTTACTGAGAATGGGGTGAGAGGCCGTGTCGAAGGCCTTCCTGAAGCCCAGAAAGACTATATCCACTGCAACACCTGCATCCAAGGACTTGGTGACCTGGTCATAGAAGGCCACCAGGTTGGTTTGACAAGACCTGCCCCTAACGAGCATAACCTCCCCTTCTGGCCCTTCCTGGACACGTGCCAGGATAATTCTTTTGAAAAGCTTCCCCAGGACCGAGGTAAGACTCACGGGCCTATAGTTTCCTGGGTCCTCCTTCCTCCCTTTTTTGAAGATGGGGACCACATTGGCCCATTTCCAGTCCTCTGGCACATCACCCGAGTGCCATGAGTGCTCGTAGAGCTGTGCCAGAGGTCCGTAGATGCATAACAAGGTGCGGTTTGCTTTACTGACCGCTTCCTCGCATTGGTGGCTCATGTTCATCCTGGAGTCAACAATGACTCCAAGATCCCATTCAGCCATTGTGTTATTGAGAAGGGTATTCCCCAGCCTATAGGTGTGATGCTGGTTCCTTCTCCCTAGATGCAGCACCCTGCACTTGCCTGCATTGACTTCCATCCTAGTCTCATCTGCCCATCTCTGCAACCTATCTAGATCTAGTTGTATTCTGTCCCTCCCCTTCAGTGTGCCCACTTCTCCCCACCTCTTTGTGTCATTAGCAAATTTGGACAGCGTGTTTTCCACGCCCACCTCGAAGTCACTGATAAAGATGTTGAACAGTACAGGCCCCAGGACCGAACCCTGGGGAACTCCACTGCCCACATCCCTCCAGGTCGAAAACGACTCGTCCACCACCACTTTCTGGATGCGACCATCGAGTCAATTTGCCACCCATCTGACTGTGTAGGCATCAATGCCACAGGCACCTAGTATTTTTATGAGAATGGGGTGAGAAACAGTGTCAAAGGCCTTCTTGAAGTCCAGGTAGATGACATCCACCTCGATGGGAACTATGCTTGGGACAGATCCCAGGAGGGCATCCCCAGAGATAAAGGATGAGCAGCCCGGGGACAAGCTTTTCCTAATCTATTGCAAGACAGCATGAGCAGCCTGGCCTTCATGCCACCTTAACCCCTTCCTGCCAACGTTGGAAAGGCTGAAGCCACCAGTGTTCCTGTGTAGGGGACAGAGGAATTTGAGAAGTTTCTTTCCTTTTAGGGCTGAGGCAAGCCCTGAAGTTTGCCTTTCCCCAGTCTCCCTTCCAGAAAATGAGTTAGACAGAGAGCAAACAAAACAAACCTACTTTTAGTTCATTTAAAATGATGAAAGGTTCTGCTTTCTGGGCCTCCTCGGCTATGTTACCTAGCAACACCACCTCATCCGGGGGGCCTGCGCCAAGACCTTGAAATCGACCCATCCATCGATCCATTTCACCGGGACCCAAACCCGATCTCTCCACTGCTGAGGCTGTTTAATGCTCTGTATTAAATTCCCACCAATTCTATAGACATCTTCATTTGGCAGGTGGGGCAAATGTGCTGTCCCGAGGCCACCTCCTGTAGCATTTCAGCGAATGTCACACAGGAAACCGAAAGGAGGAAACAGAAGAATCCTTCAAGAGGAGAGTACTCAGACAGCAAATGCACCTGCTGCCGATTGAGCGATTCAGCACAAAATGATTACAGAGTCTGCTTGCGTTGGATCAGGCTTTCTGGGGAGAGAAGGGAGCCATAGTGGGAATGGGAATAGTTGTTCTGGGAACCAAATTTGACACGCCAGACAGACATCTCAAGCAACCCATCTCTGCAACACACTCATTTCCAGCAAGATAAGCACAGCACAGAAAATAAATGGGCATTTAAAAATGTCACCACCTGTGATGAAAACAGGGAGGTTATCTTATCAGCAGTATAGCAGAGGGTCTCCTACAGCGAAGCACTTTAATGACAGCTTTTGTTCACAGTGCTGTGCACACTGTAACCGAAGCTCTCAACACGGCCGAAAGGTGAGCTTACTCCTGTTCTCCAGCTGGAGAAACTTGAGGCAGAGGGGTTAAGTGACTCACCCAAGGCCATACAACATCAGATTAAAACTCAGATGTTCGCAGGCCTCTGCTCAGATGGTTCATTTCCCTTGCAAACGTCATAGCCAGGGAAATTGAAGCTGCTGAGAGGTCTTGAGTAATGCAGACTTGCTGTGCTTGGAAAAGGAGCAGTTATGTTTGCTCTGTCAAACATGATCAGTGCCCCTGATCATGGGCTTGGAATAGTTTTTTGTTCTTTTTACCCCCTTTTCTGCAAATGGCAAAATCCTAGAGCTCCCTTGTCTGAGCACCTCCAGAGCAGGTCCCAGCTACTGTAGGGACTCACAACTTTTCCCAACCTGTCAACTTCGAACTCATGGTCATCACCTTTATTGTCTTTCAAACCTGGCATCAGGTGGGTCCCTGAAAATCAGTATGTAAAATGCATTGTACAGCTTCCAGTTCCTAGACACATTTAGGTGCATTCAAAAAGCCAGCAAAGTGACTTCTGCAACTGGCTATTGAAGGATGTGTTGCCTTCGCCCTTTGCTTTTCTTTCTCGGTTACCAATCAAAGTGTATAGAATTTCTTATTAGCTTGAAGACTATTTCTGCAAACTAGCACTCTATTACTTTTAAGACTTTACGGCATACTGTTTTTGCCATGATCTGTATTTTAAAGCCACATATGTAACATTTTGTTCAAGCTAAGAAAAAATATATATAGCCAGTTGCCGTGAAATTTAGTTTAGACTAAAATATGTGCTGTGAATCAGTCTGCTAAATGACCTTATGCACTGTTCATTGTAATCCAAAATTGCCAGGCAAGTGCAGTAATTAGTTGTGCAAAATGAAATAACTTTAAATCCCCGCACTGAGTAATGACCCAGAAAAATCACTTAAGCTACACAAAGAAAGAGCTGAACAGCATCTGTATTTATTTTTACTTTTGTAATTCTGCTCCTTTGGTTCAAAAAAAGCCCAACTTACAAACATTCTCAAACCCAAACTTCACAAGCTGATTTCCATATAACAAATGTAGACAGTGGTTATACCTACCCAGAAAAATCCTGCCTTTTCATGAAACAGCTGATCAGTACCAAATCTAGCAATGCCCATAAATAGAGTAATCATTCTGTCATGTTTATATTTTACAAACTAGCAGCTCATTGCTGCTGAAAGAGATGCCTCACATCATACGCTGGGCAATATAAAACGGCATTCTACAAACTGAGCTGCGTAATGGAGAAATTGGAGGATGTATCCTCATTGATGGTGCTGATGTCTTCTAACCCTAAATGCCATTGCTTAGCTCTCTTGTGGTTTCCCCAAAGAAAATATTCTTAATGTTTTTTTTCTGTCCACTAGCACTTATCAGGCTAGCCTATTTAATCCACAATAATCAGTTAAACCTGATGTTACCCCCTGTGAGTCAGATAAGCAATATTATCCTGATTTCACAGGAGGCTAAATTAAGGCCAGCAGCGGTTCAGTGCTCAGTGGCAAACCTAGAATTATAACCCAGACTTTATGTCTGTAATCACTTGGACGCAATTCCCGCTAGTTTAACGAAATGTGTTATGGAGGAGTGTAGACTGTCTGTTTTTGAAGCATCAGGTATCAGCCACAGCAGGGAAGTAGAATACCAATCTTAAGGGACTACTGGTCTGGATAAATGTGAGAAACCCTGGTATTTTGCTTATGAGGTGGGGAGAACAATACAAGATCAAGTTACCCTTGGCCTGCCAAAGAGAACAGCTTTGTTGTCCACATCCTGACAGCATGAGAAGCGGTATCTTGCTGATGCTGTCTTAGCAAGTCTAATTCCTGTTGGCCATGGAAACAGATCTGCCACCAAAGGAAGTGTGAGGAGATGAAGCATTTTTAATAACCAGATGAGCCATTTGTGATGCACTTTTAATTGGATCAATTTTCCCTTTATTACACAACCTGTAAAAATCAACCACACACTCGTAACTGGACACATTCCTTCTCCAGGTGAAAAGCAGAAGCCACACTATTTTATCACAGTCTTTAATTACTATTTCATCTCATTTGGCAGATGATCACAACACCAGGGAAAAATACTGTTGCAAGGGATGCAGCTCTCTTGCAGTCAATTCCACTTTACCAGGGGAGGCATGTACTAAAACTAGGGATAGCGGTTCCTTTTCTGTCTCCCATCTCTGTCTGAAACAGGAGAACAGAACAGTAGCTGCGAAGCAAAATGCATGCACCGGCACTGATCTCCTCCCTCTACCTTCTACCACAAGTGCATCATAAAATAAACTGTTATTTTCTTTGAATCTGTAATAGAGGGTGGAACAGATGGTGGAGACTTAGTTTATACGGTGTGGCCATCGGGACAGACCTAGGCAGCCAAGTGCTCAGTCAGCACAATAGGCCATGTTTTAAGTCTATTTAAATGTATGTCTGGGCTCTAGGAACCATTACTAGTGGAATGTGTACTACAGAAGGATTTTACTGGAACAGCATTTGATGTAGGCGCTTATTACCAAAGATAACATTGCTTCAACGAGTCGGTTTCATGGAAGCTTTCTCCTGAAAGCAGCTCTTAGAAACAAGAGAGATTTTAAAATGTGAAATACCAGCATGATAGGAATCACCATAACTCTAAATGACTTGGCTTACAGCAAGGTAATTAGCCATAAAAGATCCCAGATAAAAGTCATCTCCCCCTAAAAAACATATATATCATGACAATACATAGTCCCCAAATTGCCACTACACACTTGATACAAATTTCAACTTCCCCCTCTTCCCCC